TTGTTCTTTTTAGGTATACATGACAGTAGAGTACATTTTGACATATTATACATACATGGAGTATAATTTCCTGTTCTTGTGGTTGTACATGATGTGGAGTTACACTAGTTGTGTATTCATGTATGAACATACGAAAGTTATGTTCGATTCATTCTACTGTCTTTCCTATTTCCATCCCCCCTTCATTCCCCTTTGTCTAATCCAGAAGGTCTATTCTTCCCATTCCACCCCCTCCTTTTTTTGTTTTTTAAAAAAAGAGAGAGAGAGAGGCAGAGAGAGAGGGAGAGAGAGAGAGAACTTTAACATTTTATTTTTCAGTTATTGGCAGACACAACATCTTTGTTTGTACATGGTGCTGAGGATCGAACCCCGGCCGCGCGCCCGCCACTCGAGCATGCTACCGCTTGAGCCACATCCCCAGCCCCCACCCCCTCCTTATTGTGAGCCAACATTTGCATATAAGAGAGTACATTTGACCTTTGGTTTTTTGAGTTTGGCATATTTCATTTAGCATGATAGTTTCTAGTTCCATCCATTTACTGGTAAATGCCATAATTTCATTCTTCTTTATGGCTGAATAATATTCCGTGTGTGTGTATATACATATACATATATACATGTATACACACAAATACACACACACACACATTTTCTTCATCCATTCATTTGTTGAGGGGCACGTAGGTTGGTTCCATAGCTTAGCTGTTGTGAATTGTGAATTCAGCTGCTATAAACATTGATGTGGTATCACTGCAGTATGCTGATTTTTAAGTCCTTTGGGTATATATTGAAGAGTGACATAACACGGTCAAATGGTGGTTCCATTCCAAGTTTTTGAGGAATTTCTATACTGCTTTCCAGGGTGGTTGCACCAATTTGCAGTCCCAGTAGCAATGTATGAGTGAACCTTTCCCCCATATCCTTGCCAACATTTATTGTTGTTTGTATTCTTGATAATTGCCATTCGGTGTAGTTTTAATTTGTGTTTCTCTAATTACTAGAGATGTTGAACATTTTTTCATGTATTTGTATTTATTCTTCTGTGAAGGGCCTGTTCAGTTCCTTTGCCCATTAATTGATTGGGTTTTTTGTTTTTTTTGGTGGTAAGTTTTTTGAGTTCTTTGTATATCCTGGAGATTAATCTCTGAGGTGCAGGTGGCAATGATTTTCTCCTATTCTTCATTTCAACTTACTAAAAAGAGTGTTTTTTAAAAAAATTCATTTTATTATTATTTTTTAAATTGACAGATAAATTTTATGTATTTTTTGAATCCCAAAAAAACAAATGCCGAATGTTTTCTTTGATATAAGGAAGTTGATTCATAGTGGGATAGGGAGCGGGAGAATGGGAGGAACAGACTAACTCTAGATGAGGCAGAGGGGTGGGAGAGGAAGGGAGGGGGCATGTGATGGTGGAATGTGATGATCATTATTATCCAAAATACAGGTATGAAGACATGAATTGATGTGAATATACTATGTATACAACCAGAGATGAAAAATTGTGCTGTATGTGTGTAATAAGAATTGTAATGCATTCCACTATTATATATAAATACAAAAAGAAGCAAACTGTAGTAGTATGTTTTGATTTCTTGCTTAAAAAAAACAACAGTTTTTTTGAATTTTACAAATACTTGCATATATTTATGAGATGCAGTGTATTGTTTCTACATATGTAAATATATTGTAGTTTATTCAAATGAGGGTAATTATATTCATAACCTCAAGCATCCATAACTTCCTTGTGGTGAGAGCACCCAAATGTTCCTTTAGCTATTTTGAAATTCACAATACATTAATTATAATCTCTTTGTCATCCAACAAACAGGAGAACCTATTCCTGTTATCCAACGTAGTTTTGTCCCTTGTCTACCTACCTCACTCACAACTTTTCTGGTAGCCATATTTTCTGGTAGTCATAGTCCATGACTTCTTTTTTAAATTCTACATATAAGCAAGATCCCATGGTCCTTGTTTCTCTGTGCTTGGCTTATTTTACTCAGGATAGTATCTTCCAATTCATCCATATTGTTGAAAATGATGGAATTTTCTGACTAAAATACATTTAAAAACAACTTATAGCTAAGGAAAAATATTTATAAAAATAAGTTTATGATAAAAATGCAGTATACCAAAATAAGTGAGACATAATTAAATCATTATATATTGACAGTTTTATAGGTTTCAGTATTTACATAGTTCAATGCTAGAGTCCTTGTCTAGAGTGCCTCTTAAGAATGTGGTTTTGATCCCTGGCACCATGATTAAAAAACAAAACAAAACTTATAAACTTGTATTTTTATATAGAATTCAGGGCCTGGGGATATGTATAGGTCAATAGTATAGTGCTTACCTGTTATGTGTTTGTTTGAGAATGTTGCTTGGTACAATATTCTTGGCTGGCAGTTTTTCTCTTCAGCACATTGAATCCCACTCTCTTGGTCTGTAAAGTTTCTGCTGAGAATCTGTTGCTCAGTGTACCAGAAAGTCTATTATATGTTATTTGCTTCTTTTTTTTCTTGCTGCCTTCGGAGTCTTCCCTTTTCTTTGATCTTTGACAGTTTGATTATAATATATCTCAGGGTAGTTTTCTTTGCATTGAATCTGAAGAAAATATTTGACCCCCCCCCCATACCTGGATATTTATATCTTTCTCCATATTTGGAAAGTTTTCTGCTATTATTTTTTAAAATATGCTTTCTGCTCCTTTATCTTTTTCTTACTTATCTTATTCTCTCTTGAATGTCAATGACTTTGTACATTTGCTCTTTCAGTGCTGTCCCATGAGTCTTGTAAGCATTTTTTATTCTTTTCATTACTTTTCTTTTTTCTCCTCTTAGTGTATATTTTCAAATAACCTATCTTCAAATTCACAGATTTTTTTCTTCGTGATGAGTTCTGTTTTGATGCTATTCCTTTTTTTTTTGTTTTTGTTTTCTTTTTTTTGGTGGTACTGGGGATTGAACCCAGGGCCTTATGTGTGCAAGGCAAGCACTCTACCAACTGAGCTATATTCCCAGTCTGCAGTTTTTCATTTGTTCATTGCATTTTCCAGCTCTAGAATGTGTGACTTTTTTTTCAATGATTTGTAAAAACAACATTTTTTAGTTTTTGTTGGATCTTTATTTTATTTATTTGTATATGGTGTTGAGAATCGAACCCAGTGCCTCACGCATGCTAGGGAAGTACTCGTCCACTGAGCTACAACCCCAGCCCCAATGTGTGACTTTTAAAAAATTAATTTAATCTGTTCAATTTCTTTTTCTGGTCACTTACTGTTCTCTTAATTTTTATTTAAAAAAATTTTTTTTTGTTATAGTTGGACACAATACCTTTATTTCACTTATTCAATTTTATGTGGTGCTGAGGATCGAACCAGGATCTCGCAGTGCTAGGCGAGTGCTCTACCACTGAGCCAAAACCCCAGCCCTTGCTGTTCTCTTTATTGAATTATTATTATTTTTTAATTTTCTTGGTTTGATTAGTTCCCTTAAAACCACTCTTTTGATGTTTTGTCAGGCAGTTTACGCATCTCTTTTATCTTTAGAGTCAGGCTCTGGCACTTTATTTTGTCCATTTGCTGGTGTCATGTTTCTCTAATTTTTCTTGATCCTTGTGGTTGTACATTGATGTGTGTATATTGAAATAGGTACTTTTGGAAATCACAACAGACTGGCTATTCATGGCACCATCTTTTAACTGTAAACTTGTCCAAAGATTCTGGGTTGGCAATGTGGGGTGTTTCCTATTCCCATGGCTGCTGCAGTTGTTGCAGTGCCAGCAGGTATCTTAAGCTGCAGACTGTAGCTCAGTGTTGGCCTGGAATACCATGCATGTAGGCTGGGGCAGTGCACACAAAGCCCATGGCTGCTGAGGTTCTCACAGCAATGGACCATGTTGAAAGCCACAGCCACTGAGACCTTCTTTTCACTGTGGATTACTTAGAGAGTCAGGCTGCCATAATTCACTGACAGTGTCATGTGCTAGATCTTGAGTCTGTTTCACAGTGGTTATAAATTCCCATCTGGTTTTGAGGTAGGTGCATAGGCTAAGTTCATATGAACTAGCGTGAACTTCACTGTGGCATGCCTGGTATTGGGGACAAAAACAAAATCCTAGGTTCACTTTGCTGTCCTTCCTCCAAGTGGATGGCATCTCTCTTCATGCTGTGCTGCCCGGGGTTGAGGGAGATGTGATATGGGTGATATAAAACCTTCCTTTGTACCTTTCTAGTATACATTTTCTTACTAACTAGGTACTGTGATCTCTAACCTGGTTTCCTAATCTCTTATGAAGATGTGTTTATGTGTGAATAGTTCAAATTGATGTTTCTGTTGGAAATGGAAATAGCTCTATTTTGCTCCTTCCTTCACACACACACAAAAAAAATTTATTTGTTTCTTTGTAGTTGTAGTTGGACACAATAACTTTATTTATTTATATGTGGTGCTGACGCTCGAACCCAGGGCCTTGCACGTGCAAGGTGAGCACTCTACCCCTGAGCCATAACCCCAGCCCCCCTAAAATTTTTTAATGGATTAAGTTTTTGGTGTTGTATCTTAGAAATCTTTGTATAATCCAGTGACAATTACTGATTTATTTGGTGCTGGGGATTGAACCCAAGGGTCCTCTACCACTGAGCCACATACCCAGCCCTTTTTATTTTTTTATTTTGAGACAGGATCTCACTAAATTGCTTAGAGCCTTGCTGAGTTGCTGAGATTGACCTTGAACTTGTAATCCTCCTGCCCCAGATGTGTGGTCACTGCACTTGGCAATCACAATTATTTAAAGTCTATTTAGAATGTTTATTTGCAATTTCATGGTATTAACACAAAGCATTTATTTTTGTATGCCTCCAGACAGATTTTGAAGTTGAAAACTCATAACTAGGTCCTCTTCAGAATGTTAATAGAAGTAATTTATGTTCTTTGAATACATTAACTTATTACATTTATTATTAGTTATTTCTATCTTATCCTGTGTTTTTCTTTTAGTGCCAGCTCATCAGAAGAAGAGGGAAAACACACTGTTTGATATTCACAGATCTCCAGCAAGAAGAAGCCATATCAGGTAACTTTTGTTTTTGAAAATGGGAAATATTTGTACCTTTCAGTGAGAGAATGAGACGCTAATGCCCACTTTAACTTATTTTTTTTAAATGTTTTTTAGTTGTTAACAGACCTTTTTATTTTTATTTATTTATATGTAGTGCTGAGTATTGAACCCAGTGCCTTACACATGCCAGGCAAGTGCTCTACCCCTAGACTAAAACCCCAGCCCTAACTTATCTTTTTTAAAAAGAAATTTTTTAGTTGTAGGTGGACATGATACCTTTCTTTTACTTATTTATTTTTATGTGGTGCTGAGGATCGAACCCAGTGCCTCGCATGTGTTAGGCAGGTGCTCTACCACTGAGCTATAGCCCCAGTCCCTTAACTTAAGTTTCTGGTTGTTTTTCTTATTTGAGTTATCCTCTGGAGTCATTTCTTAAAATCTGTACAACTTTGCCTCCACCAACCTCCTTATGTGCCGTTATTGACACATTACTATATTTCTCTACATAATAGGCCCAACATATGCACATGTGCGCACACACACACACAGGCACACAGGCACACAGATACTTTGGAGAATTTCCTGATGGAGAAAAAGAAGTAGAAGAGGGGGCTGGGCTGGGTCTCAGTGGGAGCGCACTTGCCTGGCATGTGTGAGGCACTGGGTTCGATTCTCAGTACCACGTATAAATAAATAAAGGTCTATCAACAACTAAAAATAAAAAAAAAAAAAGAAGAAGAAAAAGAAGTAGAAGAGAGGATAAATATCAAAATTGCCAAAAATGAGTAGATTATTGTTGGTAGCAGGTTTTGTGAAGAGTTAGGAAACATTAAAAACTGACGCAAAATGCACTGAGAAGATTTGTGGTAGAGATCTTCCTTAAGGATCTTAAGGAAGTTTGGAGAATCTGGGTTACTGTTGACAATAGTGGGCACTGGAGTGGTGTTCAGTGATTCAGCTTTTCTGATTGGAGTTCTTTTCAATACATGAATTGGTACAGGGTTGGAATTTACACTTATAATGGAAGAAAAAGGGGCCAGATTCAGTCAGGTTGGAAGAATAACAATGAAATAATAGGTCTTAAGTTGAGGCTGGACAGTACAAAAACTTATCCAAGAAAAAAAATGATAGATTGTGAGTAAATGGGTGCCTAGGGACAGCAGGCCTTGAGAAAGTTGAAAGAGTTGGTATGTTAGAAACTCATGTTCAAAGAATAGGTCATTACATTTTAATTTTAAGAGCATTTCTTACTATTACAAGATCTAAGGTAAGAGGATGTTTTTAGTGAAACAGAACTACGGGGGCTACAGGACTGTCGGAGTGGTAAGTGGATTGTAAATAAAATGGGGAAAACATGGAAGGGATATTTGTAGGCATGAATAAGAATCACTGGAAATTATAAGTGGTGGGGGAAAGGGAATTTAGGGTGACTGAGGTTTTTTACAGAGTAGTAGTTGGTATAAAATTATATAGAATTATATAGTTTGAAAAAAAGTGGTAGAAAAATTAATTAAGATGACAAACTCAGTTTGCACATGTTGAAGGGGCACAGTGTGGTAATGATTTAATTATGGTATTTTCTATGTGGTATATATACACAGTGGAATATTACTCAGCCATAAAGAAGAATAAAATTATGACATTTGTTGGTAAATGGGTGGAACGGGAGGCTATCATACTAAGTGAAGTAAGCAAATCCCCAAAACCAAATGCCAGATGTTCTCTCTGAAAGCTGGATGCTGACACACAATAATCTAGGGGTTGGGGAAGGAAGAATAGAAGTTCATGGGATTAGACAAAGGGGAATGAAAGGAAGGGAGGGGGAAATAGGAAAGACAGAATGAATTGGACATAACTTTCCTATGTTATATATGAATACATGACCAGTATAAATCTAACTCTACATCCTGTACAACTACAAGAGTGGGAAATTATACTCCATGTATGTATGTCACAATACACTCTACTGTCATTTATATCTAAAAAGAATGAATAAAAAATAATTATAGTATTTTCTAGGTATTTTAGGGATGTCATGGCTTATATAATAATTTAACATTCAGTAAGTATTATTTCTCCTTAACGAGGTGATGTTAGCCTGATAAATTATCTAATTAGTCCATAGCACTTATTATAAAGTATTTCTTTTTAAATTAAAAATGTTTTATATATTTTATAAGAAATTTAGAAAGGATAGAAGTATCTTTTTTTGGGGGGGGAGGTGCCAAGGGTGCTCAACCACTGAACCACATCCCCAGCCCTCTTTCTTTCTTCCTTTCTTTCCTTTCTTTCTTCCCTCCCTCCCTTCGTGTGTCCGTCCCTCCCTCCCTCCCTCCCTCCCTCCCTCCCTTCCTTCCTTCCTTCCTTCCTTCCTTCCTTCCTTCCTTCCTTCCTTCCTCTTTCTTCTTCTTCTTCTTTTTTTTTTTTTTTTTTGTTGTGCTGGGCATTGAAACCAGGGCCTTGTGAGCTGTATCCCTAGCCCTTTATTTTCTTATTTTGAGACAGGATCTCACTAAGTTACTTAGGGCCTCGCTAAGTTGCTGAGGATGGCTTTGAACTCAAGATTCTTCTGCTTCAGCCTCCTGAGTTGCTGGGATAAAGGGTGTGCCACTGGGCCTGGGAGGATAGAAGTATTTTAAGTGGGAGGTGAAATCCTTTATCATTCTGGAATTAAATGTGTAATTTTCTTTAGTTTTTTGAATGTCTGAACTGTTTATAATTATTTGGGAAAGGCAGAGTGAAAAAAGAAAAATAGAAGCTTTCTCTTTAGATTCTAATGTTATTTATAACAATGACAGATATTGTCTAAATTTAAATACAAATTAAAATTTGTTATTTGACTACCTTATTTACTTCCTTATTTGGAAAATTGTAGGCTTCCTATTTGGTTTGCTTTATTCTTTTTCTCTGTAGCATTTACCACCTTTATACCTTGTTAAATGTTAACTGTAGGAGGGCAAAGATCTTTGCTGGGAGAACGAATGAATTTTCTCCTGAACTAATTGTTGATGATATGTGCTTCCAATGTATTCTTTTTTTTTTTTAATATTTAGTTTTTAGTTGTAGTTGGACACAATACCTTTATTTTATTCATTTATTTTTATGAGGTGCTGAGGATCGAACCCAGAGTCTCGCATGTGCGAGGAGAGCGCTCTACCGCTGAGCCACAACCCCAGCCCTTCCAGTATATTCTTAAAAACTGTTTGTTATACTATAATGTTTTAAAACATCTTGCTCTCTTTGGACAGGAGAAAGAAGCATGCCATCCATAGTAGTGACACAACTTCTTCTGATGAAGAGCGCTTTGAAAGAAGGAAATCAAAGAGCATGGCGAGAGCAAGAAATAGGTCAGTAAATATTTTAGTATTTTTTCCATGGTAGAAAAAAGGAATATATTTAAAACAAAACAAAATAACACAGAAAAAGTTTTTTATGTATACTGAAATTTTGATAACATTGATATTCAACAATAATTTTAGACTTGAGTAATGTGTAGACTTAGTTCCTACTTTATATTTCTTAAAATGGAAATCTAACCTTGGGAAATGTTCCCTAAATTAATTAGTCTGTAAGTACTTGTGATCAAGTAATTTGGGAGGGGAGAGGAAGGAGAGCTAAGGAGAAGAGGCCAGCCTTTGTGGAAGCATCTCTCTATCCCTCTGCACTTTCCTTCTCATTCATATCCATTTAATTTAGCTTTTTTTCACACTCTAATGAGAATAGTGCTCAGAGAAAGATGAATTCTGATAGAACTATCTGAGGAGGCTTTGGATTTTCTTGATAAAGTTTTTTTTTTTTTTTTCCCTTCCTTTCTTCCTTCCTTTTTTCATTGTTATTGGTTGTCTCTAGTGATCTTTTCCTAACTCCGGTAATTGACTGATTATTACATGGCTCACTAAAACTTCAGTGAATTTTTGCCTAGGAAATAATTAAAGCACCAAATCATTTAAAAAAAAATTGTGTTAATTTTTGAGCTTAAATGTATTATAATAATAAAGAAAAATTATATTTAGAAAATGGACATTTAGCAAATCGTTTGTATAATTTGGCCTTATATGTATATTTTAGAAATATCAAGTTTTTAGTTAGCAGATTTTAGAATCAGATTTGGATTGGTGTAGATTGTATGCTAAAAAAACTCCTGTGTTTAAGAGATTCTTCTGTCTTGCCTTTTGATTAACTAGGACAGCAGGTGCATGCCACTGTGTCTGGCTTAAGTTTAAATTAAATAATTCAAAGTCTGTTTAATCTGAATTCTTCTTGTTTTTTTGTTTTGGTACCGGGGATTGAACTCACGGGCGCTTAACAACTGAGCCACATCTTCGGACCTTTTTAGGTTTTATTTTGAGACAGGGTCTCACAAATTTGCTTAGGGCTCTCTAAGTTGCTGATGTTTAGCTTTGAAATCATGATCCTCCTGCCTCAGCCTCCTGAGCCGCTGGGATTATAGGCATGTGCTGCTGTGGCTGCTTAATCTAAGTTATTCTGATAATTTTGGGGATATATTTTTAAGGTTAATTAGGATTCAGAAATGTCTACTTTCATCATAGAAAGTGCTTTTTTAAGGCTCTTTATGTCATTTTTTGGGGGTGCGGGTACCAGGGATTAAACTCAGGGGCACTCAACCACTGAGCCACATCCCCAGCCCTATTTTGTATTTTATTTAGAAACAGGATCTCACTGAATTGCTTAGGATCTCACTAAATTGGGGAGGCTGGCTTTGAACTCAAGATTTTCCTGTCAGCCTCCCGAGCTGCTGGGATTACAGGGGTGCGCCACTGTGTCTTCCTTTATGTCATATTTTGATTTTACCTGTAGTAGTCCTTTTTTTTTTTATATCAGTATATTAGTATAATGAAATTTCTGAGACTGGGTTATTTGTAAAGAGTAAGGATTTATGTATTCACAGTGTTGGAAGTTAAAAAAGTTAAAAGTGCAAACATCATGGTGCATGCCCTGATGATGGTTGCATTACATCATAGCACATGTTGTCATGGTGGAAGCATATGAGACAGGAAGTCAGAATCTGAGACTGGGTAGCAATTAAGGTCTCACATGAACTATGTAAGGATATGTCTTCTGAAGGTATGTCTCTGGTGACCAAAGGACAACCTTTTGTTACCCTATCTCAAAGATCCCACTACCCATAGTACCACACTAAGGAACAAACTCCCAACACGGACCCTGGGGGATAAACCACACTTAAACCATAGCATTGCTCAAAGTTAAAAGAGAAATTAGATTACATTTACTTGGGATAATACAATCAAAATAATGTAGTATAGGATTTTATGTGGCTAAATATTTATTTATTTATTTTATTTATTTTATTTTTTTAAAGAGAGAGTGAGAGACAGAGAGAGAGAGATAGTGAGAGAGAATTTTTTTTTTAATATTTATTTTTTAGTTTTTGGCAGGCACAACATCTTTGTTTGTATGTGGTGCTGAGGATCGAACCCGGGCCGCACGCATGCCAGGCGAGCGCGCTACCGCTTGAGCCACATCCCCAGCCCCTAAATATTTATTTTTAAATATTTATTTTTTAGTTATAGTGTGGAGACAATATCTTTATTTTATTTTTATGTGGTGCTGAGGCTCAAACCCAGTGCCTCACTTCATGATAGCGAGTGCTCCATCTCTGAGCCACAACCCCAGCCCTAAATATTTCTTTTAAGGTAGTTTTATTAAAGATAAAATTTAGTTATAAAGTTATGATCAGGAATTGATTTTTTTGAACAAAAGGGAAAGTAATTTCTTATATCATATAAACTGATGGGTATATCCTCAAAATTGGAGAATGAATCTTAAGTATTATAATATTGACCTTATTTTGGTTTTAAATTGTATAGGACATATAAATTTACTTTTATAGCTGATTAATATGAAATGTTAATTATATTAAGAGTTTTTTTCCATATTGAGATAGTTTGAGCACTTTGGACAAATAGAGTATCTTATTTACCTATGAATAACTATTTTTGGACAGTTGAAAACAGGAAAAGTAGTTTAAAATATGCAATTATGACAAGCGCAGTGGAGCACACCTATAATCCTTGTGGCTTGGGAGATTGAGGTGGGAGGATAGAGTTTTCAAAGCCAGCCTCTGCATAAGTGAGGTACTAAGCAACTCAGTGAGACCCTGTCTCTAAACAAAATACAAAATAGGGCTAGGGATGTGGCTCAGTGGTTGAGTACCCACCCGAAAACTCAATCACTTGTTATTTTTAGGTTATGCAAAAAGAGGGAAAGATGAAAGTGCTTCAAAAATATCAGCTCAACTTATTTTGGCATTAAAAATGTGAAACCTTTAATGCTGTTAACTTTGATTTTTATAAATTCAGGTGTTTGCCTATGAACTTCAGAGCAGAAGACTTAGCTAGTGGTATTCTCCGAGAACGAGTGAAAGTGGGTGCAAGCTTGGCTGATGTTGACCCAATGAACATTGATAAATCAGTAAGTCCTGTAAATGTAAAAAAAGTTTTTCCTTATTTCTAAAGCAACATATGATATAAATAGAAACTTTTTAATATATGGCCACTATTAATGTTTTCATATGTTGTTAAACCTAAGAACCCTAGTTCTTAGGTTTCTGTTATTTAATCTCTACTTTAATTTTTCTATTTTTACTTAAGGTTTTTCCTCTCATAATAATATATTCATTGTGAAACAGTTTTAAGTACCATTACAGAATAAAGAAGCAGGGATGGAGATCTACCATAATCCAATAGTCAGAGGCAATCACTATTTACATTTTGATAAAATTTCCTTTAAGCATTTTTTTCTCTACACATTTTTCTTTAAAAAGTATTTCAGCTACTTAAACTATCATGGGTTAGAGGAACAATCTTTGTTGCTTCTTATGATTGATTGGTGTTACTCTGTTTAATTATTGTCTCATATCTCATACGTAGAAAACTTTCTAACTGGAGAAATTGTTAGAGAATATGATTTGTCAGACAGTTTTAGAGAACCATTGTAATAACCAAGATTTTTCTCTTCCTACCTGTAAGCCAGTTTGCCCTGTAAGCCAGTAAGCCATACCTGCCGAGAAGCATGAGATATATGATATTTTGAAAGGGGTTTCTATTAGAATATAAATATAACATCTGTTGTAGATTCTCAGTGTTTAGGATGGGCACTAATCTTGCTCCCGAGTTAGTAGATTAAAGAGTGGAATTTGCCTGATGTAAAATGTAAACTTGAATTTCATTATTGATTTTATTTTTGTGCACTTATTTGTATGTACTGATGTTCGAAATCTGCTGAAGGCATGCATTTCTGAATCATAAAACTATTTTATAAATTTCAAAAATTCTCTGAGATTATTTTGTTAAAATTTTCCTTTTTCTTTCCCTAAGGTACGATTTGATAGCATAGGTGGATTGAGTCAGCATATTCATGCACTAAAGGAGATGGTAGTATTCCCACTTTTATATCCAGAAATTTTTGAAAAATTTAAAATTCAGCCTCCCAGGTATGTTAGATATTTTTTACTGTTACTACTGTTAATTTATCAAATTTTAAGCAATTAGTAAATGATTATTAATGTAAATATTTCTTGTGTATTTACTTGACATATTCTAGCAGTGACAATTAGGAATGAAATTTTATTATTTTGGGGCTCAAAAGCTATGGAAGTAAGTGTGCTCTTGGAATTTCCATTTTAGGATTTAGGAGTCAGGCACAAGATAAGATTTTTTATGTGGTCCCTGAATATACAACTGGGGTGCCCAAATGGATTTTTCTGAATTTGGCTTCCTATGAGCATCGAATTTGATGCTATGTGTTGTTAGTCTTGGAAGTATAATTTCATTAAAGTGTTTCTTTGACTTGATGATGGGTAAGCTTGATAATTTATTTTTTATGATCAGATTGTGTCTGATCATGAGATGGTTAGCTAAAGTAATTCTAATAGCTAAACTATTAGAAAAGGCAATGAGAAATTATGTTAAATGAGCTTGGGTAGAATAAAATAATTTTGAAGATATACATTTAGATTGCTAGATTTAAACTGATAAATGTTTTCATAGAGGAAGTACTTTTTATTTAGATTTCATTCTAACTTATTTTCTATGTTTTTAAGGATATGTATTAATAGTCACCTTCTATTTAAATGGATTAAAAATTGGCCTTTAATTTTATAATGACTTTTAAAAACCAAAATAGCAATTATTTGTCTTTTATGTGACTTAACTTAAATTTAAAAAATTATATTACTTTTTTAAAAAGCTATTAAAGTGTATCCTTGGGAGAAACTTAAACAAAACAGTGTTGTGAGCAGAAAATATGCTATGAAATTTCCCACCACTGAGATAATGGTATCCCGATTCCTTAGAGATGAACACTTTGGTATATTTTTTATAGATTTCTTTTATGCATATGTTGTTTATATTTTACCTATATTATACAGCATAAACATTAAAAATATAAATGATATTATTCATTGATACTCATGTGTAACTTTTTGATTTTCACTCTACAACATATTCCAGAGAACTTCCCATATCAATTCTGTTTTTTTTTCAGTTTTTAAAATTTTTTTATCTTAACATTTTTTTATTTTGTTATATATGACATCAGAATGCATTACAATTCATATTACACATATAGCGTACAATTTTTCTTTTTTTTTTATATTTATTTTTTAGTTTTAGGTGGTCACAATATCTTTATTTTATTTTTATGTGGTGCTGAGGATCAAACCCAGTGCCTCATGCATACTAGGCGAGTACTCTACCACTGAGCCACAACCCCAGCCCCTAGAGGACAATCATTCATTTCTGGTTGTATACAAAGTATATTCATACCATTCATGTCTTCATACATGTACTTAGGTTAATGATATCCACCATCTTTTTTGACCCTCCCTTTCCCTCCCACCTCTGTGCTATTCTTTTTGACCCCTTACTAATTTTTTAATTTTATAGATGGAATAGCAAATTTAACTTTCCCTTATTTATTAAATAGCATTTTGTTTTCAAATTTTTACTATTAGAAAACCATGCTTTGTTGAACACTATTAAAGCTATCTTCATTCTCCTACTTTTTTTTCTTTAAAGAGACATGGTCTCCTTGTGTTGCCCAGACTGGCATCAAACTCCTGGGCTCAAGAGATCCTCCTGCTCCAACTTCCCCAATACCAGAGTCTAAGGTCTTTGGTACAACTTTCCAAATACAGGGACTATATTTCTGTATAATGTATTCTAAGATGTGAAGTTCCTGGATCATGGGGAAATACATTTAAAATTTTGCATTATCTTGCCAAGTTACCCTGTGTTTCAACCTTTTGTTACCTACCAAAGTTTGGTACTTTAAAGACTCAACAAAGTGAAACTTGTTTGTATACTGGAAAAAATTTTGTCAATGCTTAATAATTATAATATACATTAATATAAAATTACATGAGGGAAGAAATGTCCTTTTAAATTGGTTGTCAGTAGTGATAAGATTAATTTACTTTTTTTTTTAAAAAAATTCTTTATTTCTCTAGGGGCTGTCTGTTTTATGGCCCTCCTGGCACAGGTAAAACCTTGGTTGCCAGAGCATTAGCTAATGAATGCAGTCAAGGAGACAAAAAAGTGGCTTTTTTTATGCGAAAAGGAGCGGATTGTTTGAGCAAGTGGGTTGGTGAGTCTGAAAGGCAACTTAGGCTTCTTTTTGATCAGGTAAGAGAAATCATAAATGGAAAATTTTTTTTTAGACCATTAGTATAATTTGCCTGCAATTACAGTTTCTGAGGAGGCATATTTTCTGATCATTATCTGTAGTTTAGGGTCAATAATCTGAAATTGTATGCCTTAGAAGTACATTATTTCCTCATTATCTATGGGGGATTGGGTCCAGGACCCTCCAAGGATATAAAAATTTGCAGATATTCAACTTCCACATATAAATTAATGTAGTATTTGCATATAGCCTTTGTGCATCCTTCTATAGGCCTTATTTTGGTGGGGGGTACTCATTATGGGGATTGAACCCTTTACCTCCAAGCTACATCTCCAGTCCTTTTTACGTTTTAATTTGAGAGGGTCTAATAAGTTGCTGAGGATGGCCTCAAACTTGCATTCCTCCTGCCTCAGTCTTGCTAATCACAGAATTATAGACATGGGCCATAGTGCCTAGCTATACTCCTACATATCTGAAATCATCATTAGGTTATTTATAGTACCTAATACAATGTAAATGATGTATAAATCGTAGTTATATTGTATTGTTTAGGGAATAATGACAGTAAAAGAATGTATATGTTAAGTACAGGTGCAGTTTTTTTCTTCAACATTTTAAAACACACACACATAAGTTATTATATACATAATACACAAATAAAGTTATTGTGTGTGTGTGTGTGTATATATATATATATATATATATATATATATATTTTTTTTTTTTTTTTATGTGTTACAGAGGATCAAACCCAGTGCCTCACCTGTGCTAGGCAAGCACTCTACCACTGAGCTATACCCTAGCCCCTTCTTATACATTTTGATCTGTAGTTGAATCCATGGATATGGGAAGGCTCATTGTATTTCAAATCGATTTTACTAACACTTTTGAATATTTGTGATGATTCATAAAACATTTATTGAAGTGGCCAACAGGCATATAATACTGTATTAGGTGCTTTTGAGAACCCAGGATATAGTATAATCATTAGATTATAATCCAGTTGAGGAAATAGTACAGCATAAAATGTTGGGTATTTGGGAAAAAAGTTTCCCAAAGTAGTATGTTACTTATTTTCATGAGTTGTTAAGTTAGTTTTGTTACTATATAACAAAATACCTGAGAAAATGTACTTATAAAGAGAAAAGGTTTATTTTGACTTTTGGAGGTTTCAGTCCATGACGGATTGGCTCCTTTGGTTTGAGGCCTCTGGGAAGATAGCAAGCACATCATGGCAGGAGTATTTGTTAGAGCAAAGCTGCTTACCTTATCATCTAGGAAGCAAAAAGTTAGAGAGGAAGAGGCCAGGGTCCTATAGTCAATCCTCTTCAAGGACATGCCTCAGATTTTGAGTATCTGGCACTAGATTCTACCTCCTAAAGCTTCCACCACTTCCTAAATTAAGCAGCACCTTAGGGACCATGTCTTCAAGACATGGACCTTTGGGAAACATTTATCCAAACCCTACCCAATTTAAAATTTGTTGCCTAATGAATTCAGTAATAAATTAATTATTTTAAAAGGCAGAGTGAGGTGAATGAATGTTGTATAGGCTATCTCTACTTTTTTATACGAAACAATAACTTTAAAAATGTTATTTCCTAACATTCCTAACTGCAGCCCAATTACTTTGGGATACTGGGAGGATCACTTGAGTCCGGGAGTTCAAGACCAACCTGGTGAGACCAGGTTGAGACTCTGTCTCCAAAAAAATAAAAAAGTAATTATTTTTCTATACCTTATAGAAACTGGTCTTCATATAAATTTACTTATGATTAAGTTAATGAAGGAAGCTGATCATATTGATCAAAATCAATTTATAATGATTTTGTCTAAGCAGATAAATATGAAGTACAAAATGCTTTCAAGCATTTATTCAGCACCTATTATGAGTTGATGTGTATGAAAATCCTTTGTTATTTGTAAAGAAGTTCAAATGTGTAAGAATTATTATTAGTATCAAAAATTGCTATATTCTAGGTAGTAGATATAGAGGATAGGTAAGAGTCTTCAAGGTGTTCAGTGTCTAGTGAGAAGTCAAACGTATACAGACTGAATACTTCAAAAATTTAGTAAAAATTGAAAAATATAAATGTAAACATAGCCAGGTGTGGTGGATCAAACCTATTATCTCAGGTACAGGTAGGCTAAGGCAGGAGAATTACAAGTTTGAGGCTAGCCTGGGCAACTTACAGAGACCCTATCAAAAAATAAAATAAGGAAAGGGCTGGTGATATGCTCAGTGGTAGAGCATTTCCTAGTATATCCTGGGCTCAATTTCCACTATTGCACAAAAAAAACAACAACAAAAAGAAAAGAATTGACTTAGGAGTACAGGCATATTATCCAATGAATTCATTTAAAAATTTTTGAGCTTTTTCATCAATTTATGCTGGTGATTTGAGTATAACTTATTTTCATTCAAGACTATGGCCCTAAATCTTGTAGCTTTTTATATCTAAATTACTTTATTTATATTTTATAGTTTTCTAGGTAAGTAGGGCTAGATGAAATGTTTGCTTTTTTTAAAAAATATTGCTGATAGTTATGATTTTTTAATGATAGGAAAATATGTGGAAGCTAATTAAGATATATTGTTATATTAATAAAAGATGTTAGGGCTGAGGTGGGGGGTGCAGCTCAGTGGTAGAGCTCCTGCTTAGCATAGATGACAACCGGGGTTCCATCTCCAGTTGTATTAAAAAAAAAAAATCAGTTAAAATTCATGTTACATGGTAAAAGGAATGTGTTTAGTGTACTGTTTTTTTTATGTTATAAGAACACATTTTCATTTGTACATTTAAATAGGTATGGAAGAATAAGCAAACTGAAAACAGTAGTTGCTTATTCTTAGGACCTTACTTTGTGGTTGGGTGGTAAAGAGGTTTCCTTTATACCACATACTCTTTTGTAGAATATGCTGCATTTTGTACCATTTACTTATAGTACTTTTAAGAAAATACAACAATTAAATTTAAATATGAGAATAATATAATAAACAACATATATGTGTTTTTTTTTTACTAGGCATACTTGATGAGACCTTCTATAATATTTTTTGATGAAATAGATGGATTAGCTCCAGTTCGCTCTAGTAGACAAGATCAGATTCACAGGTATTTTCTTCCTAATATGACTATCTTGACTTCTTTTTATTCATTGATGTAGTATTTAAAATAGCCTTATTCGCATTTGGCTGAGTACTATGAAGCTTACAAAGAATTTTAAAGTGTATTCTGTTTTTTTGAGGAATACTTCTTTTACGTAGCACAGGTGTCAGCAAACCATACTCTATGGGTCACATTCAACTGTCTGCCTGTTTTTGTAAATGATGTTGTATTCGAACACAGTCATATTCCTTCCTATTCATTGTCTATGGTTGCTCTGTGGTGTAAGAGCAAAGTTATGGGTAGTTGTGACAGAGAGACCGCATGACTTGAGAAACTTAAAAATTTTACTGTCTGATCCTTTTTAGAAAAAGTTGCCTAATTCTGAATTTGCATATGTTTTGAAATTTATCCATGCTATGTACACTAATGTTTTGTCCCTTTTAATTTCTCAGTAGTATTCTTTGGTGTATATATGTACGTATACTTCAATTTATGTATCTGCCACCTGATGGAGATTTGGATCGTTTTTATTTTTGATAATGATAGCATGAATATTCCTATATATGTTTTAGTGTGAACTCATCTTTTCCTTTCTGTTGGGTAAATACCCAAGAGGAATGAATGTGTCCTATGGTAAATATGTTTAATTTATAAGGTAACAGTATACCGTTTTTAAAAAATGGTTGTACTATTTTATGTTCCCATAATGTGTAAGAATTTCAGTAGCTTCTCATGCTTGGCAGCAGTTTTTATTATTACTCTCTAACTTTAGCCATTCTAGTGGGTGCATCTAGGAGTGGATCCAGTTACATTTATCTGATGACTAATAATGAGCATTTTTGTTTGTGCTTATTGCTCCTATTGCAAGAGTGTATTCTAAAAACAAGAGAAAAAAGTGCCAAGTCTCATTTAAGGGGACCTTTATCAGACCAGTCTGATAAAGGGTTTCTCAACAGAAACATTATAAGTCAGGAGGGAGGGAATGGGGTAATATATTGTACATCCTGGGGGGGGGGGAGAGAATAAAAAAAAAGAATCCTAACCAAGAATACTTTATATAGTAAAGTTATTCTTTAGAAATCAAGGAGAAATAAAGACCTTCTAAGACTGAAAAAAGTGAATTTACCACCATCAGACCAGTTTTCCAAAGAATGTTTAAGGGAGCTGAATATCCAGAAGTGAAAGAAAGGTAACTGCCATCATGAAAACACACAGAAATATAAAACACACTAGTAGAGCATGAACAATCAATCTTTATCAACACAGTAAACTACTAAACCACAAAGATGAATAGCAAGAGAAGAACAAAGGATATCCGAAATATAAGAACATTTAACAAAATTACAGGAGTCTTTTACCTAACAATAATAACCTAACATGCAAACAGACTAGATGCCCCAATTAAAATTTATGGACTGGTGGAATAATATAAATAAAGAAGACCCAAGATACTTTGCCTAGAAGAAACTCATTTCATCAGTGGAGAGAGACAGAGACTGAGAGAGAAAGGATGGAAAAAATAATCCATTTGAATAGAAATTAAATGGAAGCAGGCAGGAGTAGTTATACTTATATCAAGACAAAATAAACTTTTAAGACAAAATAAAAAAGAAATAGGCACTATATAATGATCAAGGGATCTATTCAACAAGGAGATATGATTACGAGTGTATGTGCACCTAGCACTGGAGCACCCAGTTTTATAAAACAAACAATGTTAAATCAAGAGGGAGGGACAGGCTCCAGTGCAATAACAACGAATAATTTCATCACCCCACTTTCATCACTAGACAGATCTCCCAGACAAAAAAAGCAAAAAACATCAGTTAACTCTGTTGTAGACAAAATGGGCCTGACATGTACAGCACTTTTCATCCAACAGCTGCAGAATACACATTCTTTTCATCAGCCCGTGGAACATTCCCTAGAATAGACCATATGTTAAGCCACAATGGAATTTTAAAGAACTTTAAAAAAATTGAAATCATATTATTTATCTCTTTTGATCACAATGGAATAAAATTAGAAATTAACAAAAGAAATTACACAATACATGGAGACCGAATAATATAATTTTGAATAAACAATGCCTCACTGAGATAAAAAAGGAAATTAAAAAACTTCCCAGGGTCTGGATGTGGAGCTTAGTGGTATAGTGTTTGCCTAGCATGTGGAAGGCCCCAGCACTGCAAGAAAAAGAAAAAATAACTTTTCTCAAATATGTTATAAATGGACACACAGCATACTAAAACCAATTGGCTACACCAAAAGCAGTACCAACAAGGATGTTTATAGCAGTAAATGCCTCCATAGAAAAAATAGATAGATTTCAGATGAACAACCTCATGGTGCTTCTGTAGGAACTAGAGAAGCAACAACAAACCAAACCCTTAATTAGTAGAAGAAAAGGTAAAAAAGATCAAAGTAAAAATACATGCAAAATGTTAAAAAATATATAAAAGATCAATGAAAGGAGAGATGGTTTGTTTATTTTATTGGTAAGAGATAGTTTTTGAAAAGATAAAACCAACAAACCTTTAGCTAGACTAACCAAGAAAGAGACTCAACTAAATACAATTAGAGATGAGAACAGAGACATTACCATCACTACCACAGAAATACAAAGCATTGCCAGTCACAATGGCATGTGCCTGTAATTCCAACTTTTCAGGAAGTTGAAGCAGGAGGATTATATGTTCAAGGCCAACCTTGGCAATTTAGGGAGACCCTGTCTCAAAAAATAAAAAGGATTGGGGATGTAGCACAGTGGGAGAGTTCCCTGAGATCAATCTCATATACTGCAAGGGAGAAAAAAAAAAAATTACAACAAAGAGAAACGCAGGACTGATGGCTTCACTGCTGAATGTTACCAAACTTATAAAGAACTAATGCCAATTTTTCTCAAACTGTTCAAAAAAATTGAAAGTGAGGGAACCCTTTCAAAATCATTCTGTAAGGCCAGCATTAGTTAGAAACCAAAACCAAAGATACAACAACAACAAAAAAAACCTGCAGATCAGTGTCCTTATTGATTATATGCAAAAAAATTCAACAGAATACTAGCAAATCAAATCCAATAGCATATCAAAAATATTATTCACTATGACTAAGTGTGATTCATCCCAGGAATTCCAGGATGATTCAATATATGCAAATCTGTAAACAGAGTTTATCATATCAACAGAATTAAGGACAAAAATCATGACCATCTCAATAGACGCAGAAAGAACACTTCATAAAATTTTATGATTAAAGCTTTTATGATTAAAGTATGATTAAAGCTCTGAACCAATTAGGTAGAGAAGGCTCATACTATACATAGTAGAGATTACATATGACAAATCCATAGCCAACTTCACACTGAATGAGGAGAGGTTTAATGTTTCCTCTATGATCTGGAAAAAGATAAGGATGTCTACTCTCACCTTATTTAACAGAGTACTGAAAGTTTTAGCCAGAGGTATTAAAAGAACTAAAGGCATACAAATAGGAAGGGAAGAAGTTATGTCACTGTTTGCAGATTATATGATTCTCTATATGGAACAAACTAAAAAATCTATCAAAAACTATTAGAACTGATAAATGAATTCAGTAAAGTTGCATGATACAACTTTAGCAACTTAGCAGCCTCAGCAACTTAGCGAGACACTCACTGTCTCTTAAGTAAAAATACCAAAAAAATGGGCTGGAGATGTGGCTCAGTGGTTAAGTGCCCTTGGGTTCAATCCCTGATACACATACACACAAAAGAAGAAAGAAAAGTAGATTTACAATATGATTCAGCTATCCTACTGGGTACCCATCCAAAGCAATAAAGTCAGTATATCAGAGATACTTGCACAACCATGTGTATTGAAACACTAGTCATAGTAGCTAAGAGATGGAATCATCCTAGGTGCCCATTGATATAAGAATTGAAAAAAAGAATGTGATACATGTACACAATGGAGTATTATTCAGCCATAAAGAATACTGTGAATGGATATTTATGAATGTAATGCATTCAACTGTTGTCATGTATGAAAAAAAACAAAAACAAAAACCCACAAACAGTCCTGGGCTGGGGTTGTAGATCAGTGGTAGGGCGCTCGCCTCCCATGTATGAGGCACTGGGTTCCATCTTCAGCACCACATAAAAGTAAATAAATAAAAAAGATATTGTGTGCATCTACAGCTAAAAAACAACAACAACAAAAAAGAATACAGACCTGTTATTTGCAGTAAAATGTATGGAACTGAAGGACATATGTTAAATGAAATAAGCCAGATGCAAAAAGACAGATACTGTATGTTCTCTTTCTGTGCGAAAACTTTACAAAAAAGTTCAACCTGGAAGTAGGGCAGTGATTACTAGATATTACTAGATAAAGTTCAACATCTTTATTGTATTTTTATTTGTATAGACAAAGCTATACAAGTTATGTGCCAATGGGGAGTGTGAGAAAAGGGAGGTTGGACTTGATTAGTGCACATTGTGTGCATCTATGAAAATATCACACTGAACTCCATTAATATGTACAATTAATGTTTTTTAAAAACCCTACAATAAACATTCTTAGTTTTGAAACCTGAAAACTTTTAGTTTGGGGACTATGACAAGCATGATTGCTGTGAACACTTCTGATCATCATAGATTCCAGTCATTGTAAATCTGGTAAGACAAAGCTATACAAGTTATGTGTGTTAGAGAGGCAAAAGTGATACTGTTAACTTTATTGATGATAGCATTAGTGTGTGGAAATTCCAAAGCAATTGACAGATAATTATTAGCAAGTTAGTTCAATCAATATAAATATGAATTTGATATTTCTCTATCAATAATTGTGCAGATATGATATTGCTATTTACAATGTCATTTTAAAAAGAAATTACTAGGAATGAATCAGAAAAATTCCCATGTCACATTTATGCAGAAAATAATAAAGCTTTATTGACAAAACATTAAAGAAAGATTTAAGTGGACAGAAGTGTACATTAATCAGTGGATTCAGTACAATTATTTTAAATCATATTTAAAAAAATATTTGACAAGATGATTCTGAAATTTATGTGAAAATGCAAAAGATTAAGAATAGTGATAGGCTGGGGTTGTGGCTCAGTGATAGAGCGCTTGCCTAGCGTGTGTGAGGCACTGGGTTCAATCCCTAGCACCACATAAAAACAAACAAATAAAATAAAGGTATTGTGTCCATCTACAACTAAAAAAAAAAAGAAAAGAATAGTGAAAAGTCTTATGGAAGAACAAGTTGCCTACCAAAGCCTCTTATAGTTAAGATAATTTCATATTGATGGAGAACTAGACAAATAGACTAATACAACAGAACCTAGAACTGTAACTAAATGCATACGTATATGGGGTACGGGTGGTTGATTTTTCTAGGGACAATACAAATGTGGGAAAGGAGCCTTTTCTATAATGCTGGGAAAATTGTATATAGAGTTTTGAAACATAGCTAGACCTGTTTGAAGAAACAACCTGCCTTCATACCATAAAAAACAGTTAATTCCATTTGGGGTTTAGTTCTATATTTAAAAGGCAAAATAACACTTTCAGATAATGTAGGAGAGAAGGTTGGGCACAGGCAAGTAGGCCTCGAATGGCATGTTAAACAGTTTGGGCTTTATTTTCAACATAATAGGGGTTAGTTAAGGATTCTGATTGCTCACATTTTTTTTTTTTTAAACAACTTTTGGTAGAATTTAAGCTAGATTGTAATTCTGTTTGTAGTCATGTTTGAGACTATAAATTGAAAACTGCTGATAAAGTACAAATTGTACTTGAAATACCTATTTTTTTTATTTTATTATTTTTTAATTTTTTTTAGTTTTCGGTGGACACAACATCTTTATTTTATTTTTATGTGGTGCTGAGGATCGAACCCAGCACCCCGTGCATGCCAGGCGAGCGCTCTACTGCTTAAGCCATATCCCCAGCCCTGAAATACCTATTTGTGATTGGAAGATACCAAAGAAAATTTCAAGGTTAAATATGAACTTTATGATGCTCCTCCCCTTTTTATTTCTTGACACCTAGGTCAGAAATTTTCAGTTTTTCAGTTAGAAAAATACGAATCACAAATCTTTTTTAAATACAAACACTGAGTATCTTGCATTTTGATTTTGTTTATACATTTTTGAAACACAGCTAGAATAGTGTTTTTGGGAAGTTTGGGAAAGGAGTCACCTGTGGCCCTAAATTAAAAAAAAGTTTTTTTTTCATACTATCCGGCTTTTGATGGTTGGACATGAAGGTACACTCCTGTAATCCCAGTGACTTGGGAGGCTGAGGCAGGAGGATTCAAAGTTCAAGGCCACTCTCAGCAATTTAGCAAGACTGTCTTAAAATTCAAAACAACAGAGGGCTGAAGATGTGATGGAGAGGCAAGCGCCTCTGAGTTCAATCCTCTGTACAGAAATAAAGAGAGGAAGAGAAAGAGGCTCTTGCTGTGTTGTTCAGGATGTCCTGCAACTCCGGGGCTCAAGCCTTCCCCTACCACAGCCTCCTTGAGTAGCTGGGACTGCAGGTACATGACATTGTACTTAAAACAAAAATAAAAAAACAAAGATGGCTTTGTTGAGATACATAGCTGTGTGTTCATAACTGTGTATTCACTTATTTTAATTCATCGACTTTCATTATATCTACAGAGTTCTCTAACCATCACACAATCAATTTTTTAAAAATTTTTTTTTGAGAGAGAGAGAGAGAGAATTTTTTTAAATATATATATATATATATATATATATATTTTAGTTTTCGGCGTACACAACATCTTTGTTTTTTGTATGTGGTGCTGAGGATCGAACCCGGGCCGCACGCATGCCAGGCGAGCGCGCTACCGCTTGAGCCACATCCCCAGCCCTCATACAATTAATTTTATTGCCTTGGAAACTTGATACCCTTTAGCCATCACTCCCAGTCTTTCAATCATGCTCTGAAGCTCTAAGAAACCATGTGTACTTTCTGTTACAGGGTTTGCCTGCTTTGGATATTTCATGTAAATCGAACTTTACATTATGTGGCCTTTTATTTCTGTTTTTTCAGTTAGCATAGTATTTTCAAGGTTCATCCATGTTACATTGTCTGTTGCGTTTTTCTTCTTCTTTTTTAAAAATTAGTACTGGGGGATTGAACCTAAGGCCTCATCCATGCCAGGAAAGCACTGTATCACTGAACTATATTTCCACCCCATTTTATTTTTTTGAGTTAAGATTTCCCTAAGTTGCCAGCTGGCCTCAAACTTGAGATTCTCCTGGAATTTATAGGTGTGTGCCACCATACTTGGCTTCATTTTTATTGAGTATTATTTTATAATTTTATAATAACTTTTTGAGTATTATTATTCCACTTTTTGCATGTATTTTATTTATTAGTCGATAGACATTTAGCTTTTATTCACTTTTTGGCTAGTATGAATATGCTGATATGAACATTCATGTATAAATTTTTTGGGGGCATTTCTGGATCATATGGTAACTGTTTAATGGTGAGTTGGACTGCCAGACTCTTTTCCAAGAGGCACACCACTTTTACTTTTCATCACGTGTTTGAGTGTTCTTCTTTCTCGACAGCCTTACCAACACTTGCTGCATCTGACTATAATAAGTCATCCTAGTGGAGTCAAAGAGCACCTTATTTGGTTTGATTTGCATATGCCTAGTATAATGATGTATCCTTTGTATATCATCTTTGGAGAAATGTTATTTCAATCTTTTGCCTGTTTTTAGGTTTGATTATTTGTCTTTTTATTGTTCAGTTGTAACAGATATTTCCAAATCTAGATCTTTATTAAATATATTGTTTGCCAATAGTTTCTTCTTTGTGTTTTTTGTCTTTTAACTTTCTGGATCACATCCTTTGAAGCAGAAAAGTGTTTAAATTTTTTGGTTTTTATCATCTATTTATTTATTTATGGTCTTGGAAATTGAACCCAGGCCCTTGTGCATGCTAAACATGAATGCTGCTACTGAACCACACTCCCAGTTTGGTTTTCAGTTTTGACCAAGTCCATTTTATCTTTTTTTTTTTTTTTAAACTGCTGTGCTTTAAGTTTTTGTTATTGTATTTTCTGGGTGCTTTCAAAAATGATTTCTGTAATCACTTGATCTTGAATTAATAGGCATTTGCAGTATAATTATTTTATTAACATTTAGGAGTGAAAAAAAGTGTAATCAGCAGTATTTACAGTTTTTTTCTGTCATTTAACATTTTTCAAATTTTGTCTGAAAATTTTTTGCAGCTCAATAGTGTCAACCCTCCTTGCTCTAATGGATGGATTAGATAATAGGGGCGAAATCGTTGTTATTGGTGCTACAAACAGACTTGATTCTATAGATCCTGCACTCAGGAGACCTGGTCGTTTTGATAGAGAATTCCTTTTCAACTTGCCTGATCAAAAAGTAAGAGTTTTTGTTTTTAGTATGTTAATATTTATATGTAACTCAATTATAAAGTAAGAGTGTGTGCGTGTGTGTGTATACATAAATATGTGCACACAGGAACACACACCTACTCTGGTTGATATTTTATGAATTTTCATTGTTCAAATTTTATACTTATGATATCTTAGTTAAAAATTTATAAACCTTATGCTTCCATTGTTAAACAGTTTATTTTTTTCCTATTAGCAATTATCATAAAGTTTATAATTTTTAGGAAGTAAGAGGAATTTTTTTTTTTTTACTATTTTTTAGTTGTTAATGGACCTTTATTTTATTTATTTGTGTGTGGTGCTGAGAATTGAACCCAATGCCTCACACATGCTAGGCATGTACTTTACCACTTGGGCTGAGCCACAACCCCTGCCCAAGAGGAGAGTTCTTGATTATCTTATTGTAGATGCTTACTTACTCTTTTCTTTAGTTTTCCAGAATGTAGTAATTATCTTGCATGGTGATTTTGTGTCTCTAGTTAACCAAAATAGTTTTTATCTTATTAAGGACCCAGTATCCAAACTTTCATAGTAATAATCATATATTTAATTAAAAGCAGTGTATGTTTTTCATTATGGTGAATTTTTTAAAAGAGTATATATTATTGTATGGCTTTGATCTTAGCATTCTATGTGAACTGCCTGGTTTACATACATAGTTGTGAAAGGCTTTGTGATTAGAATTGTGAAGAACACTATAGCAAAATGAAGGCTCCTCTGTGTAGAACAGTTAATACATCAATTTGACGTCAGTTTGCATAGTTGATACTTGTTGACTCAGATTTGTATTTGAGTCCAGGCAGTAAGATAACTTTTCTGTCAGGACAGGAAACTTACATGTCATTTTTGTTGCCCAGGTGCAACTTCTAGGAAAGTGCCCCAGTCATAGAAGGGAGTTTAGTTGTAGGAGACAAGGCAAAAGTGGTGGGTGTAGTCTGTTTTGGCATGGAGAAAACATCAGCTTATTGCCCAGGTGCAACTTCTAGGAAAGTGCCTCAGTCATAGAAGGGAGTTTAGTTGTAGGAGACAAGGTAAAGTGGTGGGTATAGTCTATTTTGGCATGGAGAAAACATCTAACATTCTAAGCACAGAGTTTTGGCTGTACTAATACAAAGGGAACACGTTTAGTTCTAAGAGATACAGACAGTGTCCCTACAGCCCAGGAAAGCTATTTCCTTGATTTCCCTTGTTTAAGAGTAAACAAGGGCCAGAGCAACGTTGTCTGATAAAACTTTTTGTGATGATGGAAATGTATTATTTCCATTGGCCGTTGATGCACCATCTAGTATGATAGCTGCTACCCACGTTACTATTGAGCACTAAAATGTGACTAATGTGACTAAAGAAACTATGTTTATATTTTGTTAATGTTCGCTAATTTAAACTGAAAATTCCATTATGAGACCAGTGACTTCCTATATTGTATAGATCTCAGACATAATTTTGCCCATTAGTTTTCCAGCACGTCAAGGAAACTATTCTTTTTATTTATTTATTTTTTTGGGTGCTGGATATTGAACCCAGGGCCTTGTGCATGCGAGACAAGCACTCTACTAACTGAGCTATATCCTCAGCTATATGTAAGACTGAAATCTAGCATCATTTTCTCAAGGTTGGGTCTTTGGAAAAGGCTGTTTCCCTTTTTCTCTTACATAGTATTTAAGGGCATGACATTAGATGATATTACCATGCCTTTTGTCAGTTAGGTAAAAGGAAGAATGAAGAGAATGGGATATTTTGGAAGCCATTTGAGAAAAAGTTTATCAGTGGGGGCAGTGTGATTTACTGTGTCACATGATGCTAAGTCAAATCAGAAAAGGACAGAAAATTGGTCATTGTGTTTAGCATTATATGTAGATGGCCATTGATTGTCATGAGAGAAGTGTAGTAAGTGGTTGGTATAAAAGCTTGACTTCTATAGAGTTAGTTCAAGAGAGAACTGGAAGAAATTGGTGGCAGTTAATATAGGTAAGTTTTTCAAAGAATTTTGTTAAAAAAGGAATCACAGAATTGAGCTGATAAGATGTTAGGGAAATGTCAGTGAGAGAATGTCTTTTGTTGTTTTTAAGTTGAAAAATCCTCAGTAGAGAAGGAAGTTTTTATGATGAAAGTTAGAGATGACCTTACTAAGCAAGAGAGGATAGGACTTAGTGATCAAGTGGCAAGAGTGACTTTAGACAAGAATGGTTAGTTGATCTCTGACAATAGAGGAAGACAAGACTTTTTAGATACACAGTCTGATGGTGTGAGGAAAATATGGAAGTCTTTCCGATTGTTTCAGTATTCTCTGAGTTCGGAAGCAATGTCATCAGCTGAACATGAAGCTCTGCCTTAAACTATGTGCCAGGACAATAGCATAATTAATAGCCTAGAGAAGGAAGTATTAAGGGTAGTAATAAGAATCTATTTAAGTCTCTAATTTAAACCAACAGGAGTCATTGACTCTTATTATATGTTATGGTTTTGGCAATAGAAAATCATGACTCTGGCCATTTCACCAAGTAAAAGTTCAACAAAATTAGGTTTTGGTTCTAGATTTTAATAATTTCATTAACTCTTCTTTACCATAAAATAGTAATATCTTCTATGTGCAACAATGCTTCATTTCTTTTTTATTTTCCTTTGTTGTCGTAGCTGTCATCATCATTACATATGTATATGTATGTGTGTACTTGTAAATCCTAAAAAGTGAGGGGTTTGAATTTGCCTTAGGTGCCATTGTTGCTTAACAAAGCTCAGTGGTTATATGCCTTTCATTGAGTGCTGGGTATCCTTAATGTTACTACAGTGTCTTCTTTTAGGAGTCTACCCTTCTCAGAAATTTTATTAAGAAAAATAAGCTTAAAGTTAAGAGAAAAAGGTCAAAGGCAGGACTGTAGTCTTTCACTTCATAGATAAGAAGGTACTTTGTATTAGGGGAAGCCATATGACTTATTATTCTATATGCCTTGGAGATTAAAAAACATAATAAGCACCTCCTGGTTTCTTCATTTAAATCATTTTTTTTTCTTTATGTCTTGATTTTAGTATAGTAAAAGAAAGGTGAGTCTGATTGGGTTATATAAAGAGCATGTTACTTAAATGTTTTAGAGACCTGATAATAACTTTCTGGTCTTAGGTAATTAATTTTAGTATGTCAGACCTTCATTACTTATTTCATAAAATGAGGAGATAGGATAGATCTTTTTGAGGTATATTTAAGGTTACATTTTTTGACACCTTTTTTATGCTCTAAGGGTCTTATAATAAGCAGTAGCTGTGCTGCTAATGAAGTCTGTGTAGATTCTTAATATCATAGGGTTTATATGCTGTCATGTGATAATTTTTTTTGGACTTTGATTTTTTTACTTTTTGTGGATCTGTTCAGGCAGATACTTCAAGGTGGAAGAAAATAAGTGTCATGTAGCTGGAACTCCTAACTTTAAACTTGCGATTGAATCTACAGCTATTAATTCTAGATTTGGTCCATTTTTTGAGCAAGATTTATCTTTATGACTTTGAAGTTGTTCGTCTTTTGGTCGTTGGACCCTAAATTCCATATCAAGTCAGTAAGATTGTCTTGATTATGATTTTTCATGTTTCAAGCAAGCACAGGTAGCAGTGTTGAGTAAATTTATCTTTTTTATGATTTGTGTTTGAGGGAGTAATGCCTCAGGTTGACATGGATGTTAAGGTGTTTAAATTGCTTTTAAAATAAAAAATCATTTTTTGGTGGTATGGCTAGTCAAAATTTGTTCCAGCTAGTATATTTGAGGGGTTGATGGTATTTATTCATCTTCTTCTTCTTAGGCAAGAAAACACATCTTACAGATCCATACCAGGGATTGGAATCCAAAATTGTCAGATGCTTTTTTAGGTGAACTAGCCGAAAAATGTGTTGGTGAGTGCTACTCTTTGAATTCTTTGATTGTCACTGTTTATTCTGTTCAGCCTCCTTTTCCCCTTGTGTTTGAAATGTGAACAAGTATAGTTATATCTTTGGTTGTGCAATAAGATGGCTTTGGCTTCATACTTGAAAGTTATTTCATTTAAAGTTTCAACACTTCCAAGTTAGAATTTTAACTATAATTAGGTTTTGCTTAACAAAGCTCAGTGATAATATGCCTTTCATTGAGTGCTGGATATCCTTAATATTACTACAGTGTTTCCATTTAGGAACTGACCCTTCTCAGAAATTTTATTAAGGAAAATAAGCTTAAAGTTAAGAGAAAAATGTCCATGTCAAAGGCAGGACTGCAGTCTTCCACTTCACAGATAACAGAAATGGGCTTATCTTTATTCCTGTGGTCTAGAAACAAGTTGGGTGGGTTGGGTCTTCAAAGAAAACACTTAGTGGTATTTAGTAATATTTTCCCAAATATAAAACTTTCCAAATTAGTTTTAAATTCATCACAGAATGGAAGATCTCCCTACAGAGTGACTAAACACTACTATCCTAAAAGGATGGGGTGAGAGAGCATTTATTTACACAGGAGATGGAATTCAGGGTTTTGGCTCTAATTAGGTCTGAAATAAAAAGAAATACAATGTTAAGGACTGGAATATACACACAGGAATTTTTGCTTCATTAATCTTCTCTCTTTTTTTTTGGTCTGTTTTTCCCTCATGCTCTCAAAATATAAATTAAAAAAAAAAAAAATCTCTCTCCATGAACTTTTTAAGCATTATGAAGAAATCCCCCAAATAAGTTTTGGGAAAACTTTAAAGTTACCAAAACCAAAAAAGAACATCTTAATTAAAAAAAAAAAATCATTGTAATCCACCATCAAATAATTAAAACTTAAGTAGAAAATTAGTCCATTCAGTTAGCTACATCCGAATTATCCTCTTCATCCACAGGGACCTCCATCTCCGAAGCAGCATCCCTCAGCTTTTGAACCACAAAGACCTCGACTTCTTCTGGTGAGGAGAAAACGTAAATCTCTCCAGCACTACTCCAGTTTAAGCTTTGCCTGGTATAAGAGAGCATGCGCCAAACCCATTTCATGTAAATTTGGCTTGACCTTTGCAAAGCCTTGTGCTGCTTAATGGGAGAGGGTGGTATTTGGTAAAAAAAAAATCCAGTCTTTCCCCTTTTTGAAATTTGTCCCTTTTTATTTATTATATTGTATCATAATTCAAATCAGACTGGGAAATATTTGTAGACTTTTCTGTGATTCTTATCACAGAATGATCCTTAACTGAAATAAGCAGAAATCTTTAGATAATTTTGGAGAATCCCTAAGAGATAGATATTCTAAAATTATTTTCTATTATCCAGTCTACCATCTGGAATATTAGAATATTATACTCTCTAGTTTAACTCTTTATCCCAAATACTGGAATCCTAGTTTCCCTTTGCATTTCCATAGGTCAGTACTTCTCACCTTTCCAAGTGATTTATTGTAGCTTTTAGTTTCTTAAGTTTTAAAATTGTAATGAGAAAAATTTTTACTGGACTGAAAAGTTTGTTGCCTTTTTACCCTCTTCATGGGGTGGCAGTAAGTAAATACAGAATCTGCTTATATTGCCATTTTCTTTCAGGATAATGAAATAAAACTCCATTGTAATTAAATGACTTTTGTTTTTGGATGTGACATTTATTCCATCTAAGAAACCAGTTCATATTTTAAAGAAAATCAATTGCATGTCTTCAAATAGGAATGAAATAGTAATAAATTTAAAATCCATTATGAAATAAGTTTTTGTATCCTAAACATGTTTATCCATGTATTGGTTCAGTTCAGTGAAATTTATGCTTAACAAAAGACTATGCAGTCTTGGTGAACAACTTTAAAAGTAGCTGACCTCTTAGAAATTATAGATTTGTTAACTTTTACCTTGAAATTAATTCCCTGGCAGTTGGAAGTTTTTGCATGCATAGTTATGTATGATTTTTTTTTAAATACTAAAATATTTCTCAACATACACTGGTATGAAGAACATTCACACAATAGTAGGAGTTTATGATTAATGAAGAGTTTATCCCTAATTATATTTCTCTATTTTAATATTCAGTGACAGGGCTAAAATAATGAAAAAGTTTTAACGGACTGTCTATATCTTCAGTTTGTTTGATGTTGTACTTACAAAAACAACCTCATAAACTTCTGTTATGGCCTTGTTTTTAGTCTAACATCTTAACAGCTGTATTTTTAGTCTTTCAGAAACTTTTCTGTCTTAATAGAATCTTCTTTACTATCCAGATATTTGTGTTCAGCATAGTATTAGAGATGTAGTATTAGAATTAGAATGGGTTTATTGTATAAAAACTTTTAACTCTTTGAAAGGTATAATGTCTTTTTGCTGTAACTGGAATGATTAGATCCTGAAATTTTGAATAACAGGACAGAAGGCCTAACTGAGACATGGAGTCACCCTAAGTGTAACACATTTAGCTGTGGTTATTCTGCACTTTTTTTCTTTTCTTTTCTTTCTTTTTTTTTTGTTTTTGTGGTGCTAGGGATTGAACCTAGGGCCTTGTGCATGCGAGGCAAGCACTCTGCCAACTGAGCCATATCTCCAGCCCGCTGCACCTTTAATTCTAGAGTCTACTTAAGGAAGTATATTAAGTCAGTAGTTATCAATTTTTTATATGTGACAGAATAATTTTTAAAACTTTCTCAAAATACACATTTTAAAATTTCAAGCCCATAGAGATTCTGTTCACTGTTTGTTGTGGGACTTGGGAATCTATATTTTTGTTTCAGTTTTATCATTCACTCTGATGAATATAGACCAGTAATTTTTTTTGAGGGGAGGGTGCTTATCCTGAGATTTATTATGCTTCTTAAAATACCACTTTATCTTTCTAATTATAAAACATTTTTATGTCTGAGACTTACTCATATCTAATGATTCATTTAGACTTAAAAATCTCTTCCATGTTGCTAAGAAGTTTATCCTTACTAATTTGGAGGAAGTCCATAACGTAGCTGCATTAGGTTTTACATGAACTGTAGAAAGATGCTTTAATCAGGTGACTGAATCACCCCCAAAGGAGTTTCCAGTCTAGTCCCAGAAGCAATATGCCACCCTGGGCAGCACTACTTGGTTAGACCAGTAATTCTTAATCACAAGCAAAATGGGAAGGTCTTTCTTATCTTTTTTAGCCTATTGGTTATAATAATCCATGTGAAAATTTACTTCAGTGAATGGAATCTATTATTATTGCTAAACTCTTTACCTGGAATAAATTAGGAAAAAGTAAACAATGTATTGTTATGTATATACTTAACATGTTATTAATTATGGCAAATAAATGTTATGGATAACATTTAACATTTACATAAAATGCCTTTTTGTGGCTGTTCAGTTTTTTTGTTTGTTTGGTTTTTAATTCTTTTTTTTATAAACCTTGGCTCTTGAATAGGACAATGCACTAATTTTCTAACTATGCATATACTTTTAAAGAAGAAAAAGATTTTTAATTGTTTATATTGTTTGAAGATGGTAGTTTTTTCTTTCTTTACTCTGATATGGAGGATAGAACTCTCATGTTTTAATCATTCTTGAATTATTTTAATTGTAACTTTGAGCAGATGATTCATATTCATTTTGTTGAACATAACAAATGTGTATGTCAAAGGAAAATAATTTTTTCAGTTTTATTAATTGAGAAGTAGAAAATAAAATGAGGCTAGTGTGGTAAATCTGATTATTCTGAAGACTTATTTGAGAGATAAATTGCTATCATTTGTATAATATTGATGTTTAATGTGTTTATAGTTTTCTGAGTTGAATTCTCACAGGAAATATTTTTCCCCCTAACTCTGAATAAATTTTGCTTTGTAATTACCATTTTTATTTCAGTATCTAAGTGCTCCATGAGGTATACCACTGTGAGGTATACTAAGGGGAACAAACCTGATAATATCCCTTGGGGCCAGTGTTCTATAAAATGTTTGAGTGGTTCCCCCTGCTGGCAGAACTGATAAAGGAGGCCAAGTGTAGTATGATATAAGATAATGTGGCTAGTTTGAATTTTACCTCCTTTTTGTGATGAAGACTTAACAGTTCATGTGTTTTTGTATGTATTTGTTGCTCAGATGAATGAAATGTTGTTTAACTGCATCATCCATTAAATATGGATAGTATATTATACTTTGTAATATATTATACTTTGTATTGATATAGCCTGTGACATTTGATTTCATTCATTTTAAACTAAATAGATATATAAAGAAAGTTAAAGCGGAAAATCAATTGAACTATTTTTTAACATTCTTATTCCATTTAATGCCCTTTGAGCTCATAGATTAATTATAATTTAAAATTATAATTTTTAGGTAATTGTTAATTCTAGTGAGTTACACTTAGGGTTGGCAATGCATTAGCTGTTTTTGAAGTTTCTGCTTCTGTACTACTTTGCACTACCATTTCATTTGTGTTTAGAGGCATATAGTATTAGAAAAAAAAATTTATAGGCAAGCTCAATGTCATGAGAACTAAACTAATGATTGACAATATTGATGAAAGATTGAAAAGAAGTTATAATTCTTCTAAAACCTTTCCTGAATAAAGTTGTACATTTTAATCAGTGTTTTTGACACTTAATACCTGGCTTGTTTTGTGTTAATACTTTTAGTTTATCCTTTTGTTAATTTAAAATATTCAAAAACATTTTTGTCTTGAGTATTTAGTCCTCAATTCAACAGTTTTGTTAGGTGACATTAAATGGTCAGTGTTTATTTTTCCAATAAAATTATACATAATTACCGATTTAGTATTTTTATTACTTTACATAAAGGTGTATATATTTACAAAATGTATTTGGGAACTTGGAAGAATAAACTTACCTTTGTTATCCTTCTTCTTTTGTGCATTAGGCTACTGTGGAGCTGATATCAAGGCCCTGTGCACTGAAGCTGCCCTCATTGCTCTTCGGAGGCGATATCCGCAGATATATGCTAGCAGTCATAAACTGCAGTTGGATGTTTCCTCAATAGTGCTTAGTGCCCAAGATTTTTATCATGCAATGCAGAATATAGTGCCTGCTTCCCAACGTGCTGTGATGTCTTCAGGACATGCACTATCACCTATTATAAGGCCACTGCTGGAAAGGAGCTTCAACAACATTCTAACAGTCTTGCAAAAAGTGTTTCCTCATGCTGAAATTAGCCAGAGTGACAGGAAAGAAGGTACTTTAAATAACTTTTTCGTATTATTTAAATGAAATGAATATAGATGTAGTTTCTTCACAAGTGTGTGTAACTCTTTTATGTTTGCCATGATCATATAAAATACATCTCCTTCACTGACCACTGTATATTCCAGGCCTGGCATATTGCCCAGTATATAGTATATTGCTTGGTGAATATTTATAATGAATGAATGAATGTTGACTCTTGGATTATTCTAACCATTATAATGTAGGAGTGTTACTATCTTTAGAAAGTTAATTATAATATTAGTAGCTTACATTTGTTATTATAAAGCACTTAAACAAATAATCATTAATTAATTCTCATCACAGTCCTATGGGTTAGCTACTTTAATTATATAGAGGTGAAGACTGGGAGACTTTGGATAGTCATTTGGTTTACCTAAAGTTACCAAGTAAATTCTGGGGGCAAGCTCAAACCCAGGAAGCCCAATTCTACAAACTATGTTCTTGCCTTCATCACCGTTATGCCCCTGTGAATTCAATTCATCAAATGTAATTTGTTGGTAGGGCACTCTGCTGTATGCTTTGCTGATTTGGAATGTAAAGCTATTGGTAAGAGAGTAAATTAGAACCTGGTTGTAGAGGGTCTTGAATTTGATTAAGCCTCAGATCATACTTTGGACACAAGATAAAAAGAGAAAACTGCCTTAAAAAAATCAATCATTTGAAAGAGAAAATTAGAAATTTAGGTTGGCATGCTAATCAAAGTAAGGTCTGTGAACTTTGAAGGAAAAGTAATGTCTTTTGGTTATCTTGATGCCCCTGGTTTGTGGAACCTTTTTTGGGATGTAGTTTGCACCAAATAGAAAATTCTGTAGAGAATTATACCAACATTTGAAAATATTATATAGTAAAAGTCATGAATATGGTTCAATTAATTGTTCAGGAACTTAAATTTTTTTAGGGATAGACTTGTATGAAATACCCATAAAGTACTTAATTTCTTAAGTTTGATAGATAGAAGGGAACAAATATTTTAGTAAATATCTATGAGCCAGGCACGAAGCTATAATTTGTATATTTTTTATTTCTGTTTTTCCTAACTAGGAATGTATATCTTTTTTCAATTTTTAAAAAACTTATGTCACTTTTAGAAAGATCAAAAAATCTCACTTTCCCTTCTAAGAGAATATCTCCATTTGAAAATGAACATTTTATGGAATATACTCTGCGTATAATTTTTTTCATAAGAATAAAATATGCTTTTGTTTCAACTAATGGAACTAAATAGCATGTACCAGTAGAGAAGAGCAACCAAATTTTATTTAATTATTGGCAATTAATTTTTAGTCTTTTAGATGTATTCTGGTTTGTTTTGGTCTTTAATATTTTTTCGTAGACAAATATCCATTCCTTTTGAATGAAATTATCACTCAAAAAGTGCTCAGTTAATTTTCAGATTAATTAAAACCTGTGAGATCTCTGTCTGCACAATTCTGTATCTCATTTTATAAAGCATTCCTCTATTTTTTCCTTTATTTTGGAAGGCTATGATTTTTGTCAGTCTTTATTTTTGAGATGGGGACTTACTATGTTACTTATGCTATCTTTGAGCTCCTGAGCTTAAGCATTCCACTGGCATTAGCTGGGATTATAGGTGTGCATCTACAGCACTTAGAGTTGATTTCTGTCAATCTTAGTTCTTCCCTGTATCTACATACATTGCATTTTTCTCTGTTGAACAAATTGGCACTTTTTTCTTAAAAAAAAAAATCTTTTTAGTTATACATGGACACAGTATTTTGTTTATTTGTTTTTATGTGGTGCTGAGGATCAAACCCAGGGTCTCACACGTTGGAGGCGAGGAGGCCAGAGATCTACTGCTGAGCCACAACCCCAGCCCCCAAATTGGCACTTTTGATGGCATGTGTGAAATATAAATGTTAATCTTTCAGGTTGTAGTCCAGGAAAAGTTTTTTAAGTATTGCATTCTCAGAGGAATTTTAGTTCCAATTGGTCCATTGAGCAGTAGCCTAAGGCCCATAGACAGACTAATGCTAATCGAATGAGTACATTTTTAAGATGGGCTTGAACTGAATTCCTGACTCCACCTTAATTAGGCCATGTTTTCCTTGAAAAGTTGTATGCCCTTTAAAAAATAAGGGTCAATTTTTTCTTTGTTGTTACTTTTGTAAGTACTGTCCTTGACTCATCTACCCCATTAACTGAACCCAGATATAAAGCAGACTGATTTAGGTCCAGTTAACTCAGTTTTCGTTAGTAGGTGAGACGTGATGAGAGTGCTGCTTCTTTTCCAGATGTATTTTCGTAAGCCACATTTCCCAAATTATATCTCACAATACTTAAGTGGATAGTTTGTAAAGTGAAAGAATTATGTGTAATCCTATTATAAAGTATTCAAAATATTATAGTTTGTCAGTTTGCTGATCAATCTGTATTATTTGATAGATAATTTGTTAGTTAAGGCCACTTAATTTTTAGCTCAATTTTCCTTATCTGGGTAGAGAACTAAAATTAAATCTTCATAAGCCTCATAATTCTTGTGCTTTTTTTTTTAAACACAGATATAGAAAATCTAATTTTAGATGATAGTGAAGATGAGAATGCTTTATCAATTTTTGAGACGAGTTGTCACTCAGGATCACCAAAGAAACAATCATCAACTGCTGCTATACATAAACCCTTCCTTCATTTTACAATGTGAGTAATTCATATCAAATTTCCTTCAATCTAGAATGATTTTTTTTTTTTTTTGCTACTTTACTCTTAGAATTACATAAATTTTTCCATCTTATAATTCTAGGGCTTTGTTTTTCTCTTGTTTGGACATAATTCTGGAAAACTTTTACTGTGTATGTTTTTTTGGTGTGGTAATAATTAAGTTTTTGGTCAAATACTTAAAGTTGTTTTTTCTCAAGCAAAGTCTTATCTGTTATTTTGCCCACCTCCTTTTTTTAAACAAAATGATTGTGTGTGTGTGTGTGTGTGTGTGTGTAGAATGGGGAAGGATTACCCTTTGGAAATCAACCCGTGGGCCCCAAATTTTATTGCTTTCAGTTTGAACTAAAATGGTCAGAAATGAATTATTAACCTCATTCTAGAGCACGTTTGATAAGTTTCAGATGATAATTTATGAACTCCAAGGCTACTAAAGAGATTTTGAATTAGAAATTGCTCAGTAATTAAAAAACTTTTTGATTCTTTAAAATGTTATTGGTTTACACTTTTGTAATTTAGATTTTATGGCTTTTCTATTTACTTTTAGCTTTGAATTATGTTAAAGTAGCTTTTGCCATTTACTGTAATGGATAAACACTTTTAGTACAAATGTAATTTTAAATTAAGAGACCAAAAAGTTTTCAAATACTAACAGCATCATTACTTGCATTTACATAATTAACACCATAGTTGAAGAACCATAAACCTCCAGTCAGGTAGGTCTAATAGCACTTGTATTCGAAGAGGCTTGATTGTGTGTACTTTTAAGTAATTTTTTCTGTAGAGGTGTTTTGAACAAATTCAAGTCTTCAACTTGAGTCAAAGTTCCCCCAAGTAGATTTTGGTGAAATGTTTTTGATTATTTGCATTGATGACTCTTTCTTTTTTTCTGATGTTTTAAAAATGGATCTAAATTACTTTCATCTATTCTTTTTTTCTTGATTTGACTTATTTATTTATTTATTTCTGAGATATGAACCCAGGAGTACTTTACTTCTGAGCTATAGCCTCTGTCTTTTTTTTCCCCCTCCCTTGACAGTCTTGTTAAGTTGCTGAGGGTCTCAGTAAGTTACTGGGGCTGGCTTCCAGCTATCCTCCTGCCTCAACTTCACAAATTGCTGGGTTATAGGTAGGAGCCTCCAGGTTCAGCTCTTGATATGTTCGTTAACAGCATGGTCTGTTAGATTTTTCTTGTTTTCTAGGTTCTTTCTTTTATGTTCTTAGGGAAGTTTTCTTGGACTCTTCTAACATTTTATAGATCAATTTTATTAATTACAGGCCAGTTAAATACTTTTTAAATTTTTAAAACATAGTTAGCCTGTCTGTGTGTGTATTGTTTTGGCAGTTTTAGTTGTTTGGATTGGAATTATGTAATAGCAGGAGCTAAGGAACTATTAGAAGCCTTATATTTGCTCTTTTTTCAATAAAGAAATATAGAAACAGTTTTTGATGTTAGAAAGCTTCATTTCAAGTTTTGTGTTTGACGTTTTATTGAGAACATTCTCTTCACTGATTTGATGTGTGTCACTAATATAACTCTTTAGCTTAGCTTTTCTGAAAGAATTGGTTTATCTTCTTTTATATAAGCTTTTCTAGTTTTTAAAATTTTTCTTTATATTATCTAGATATTCTAGAACAAGCTTTTTTGTTAGATATTTCAATATTCTAGAACAAGCTTTTTTCTTAGATATTTCATGTAAGTTAATATTTATTAACTTATATCTCTGTTCACCCACTCTTCCAACTTTTTACTGTAGTAGGTGCTGAAAACACAAGCATGAATAAGATGTAGTTCTTACTCTATAGAAGTTCTTGTTATTGGGGTTGCAAAGATTGCAATGTTACTAAAGTTCTATGAGAGCAAAACTAATTATGTTGGAAAGTCCAGGAAAGCTTCACAGGCAACAGCGACATTTGCTCTCCTTTGAGTATAAAAGGATGAGAGTTAGCATCTGAGTGCTTATTACATACAGACTGGACATGTGCATTTGTGATATCATTTTATAGAAGAGGAAACTGAAGCAGAAATAAGTTAGTTGTTCAGGATTGTGCTAACAAATTCAGAGCCAAACTGTGCTATTTGTTTCCTGGGATCATGTTCTTTCCAAATTGGTTTCCACATTTTACAGATAGATATGGAATTGTATAGCTTCCTTGGGTAAATTGGGTATGATTTTTCACACTCTCCAAGAAGCATGCTCTTTTGAATAAAAGCCACACAAAGGGTAGCTACACACAAAGGCCACACATAGGGATGTTTTTGTTGTTATTGTTTGGTTGGTTTGGTTTTCTGTTTGAGCAACATGTGTTAGCATGCCAGATCAGTGTAGAAAAAGAAGACCTTAGTGTTGCTGTTGCTCTCCAGCCATACCAGCCTGGGCATTACTGGCGGGTTTCTCGAAGTAGTGTCCTAAATCAATGTTGAAACCTCTTTAAAAGATTTAAGATACAATAGAAGTCAAGATAATTAAGGTCTCTCAATCTGGTAGAGAGGCCCTATGATAGAAAGTAAGTTTTCTTTGCTTTTTTGTATTACCAAAAGGGGATTAAAAACAGAGCTTTCTTAAGGTTTTTAAAATGAAAATAGCTTTGTTTTTTTTGATTAGAAAGATGATATACTCTGTAGAAAATTCAAGTAATAAAGAAGAGCATAAAGAAGAAAGTAAAAATTAAAGTCCCAGCAGCTGAAGGTAATATTTTTTCAAGTTTTGGTGACCACACCTCCATGTTCTCTATTTATAAATAGACCTACATATGATTTTATGCAGACTATATCCTCCTATAAGGTGTTAATGTAACTTGCTTTTTTATCTGCTATGCTGGGAATGTTATTTCATGTTCGTATGTTTAATGTAATACTCTAAAGATAACTGTGTAGTTTTAATTTTTGTATGTTCCAAAATTTATAGAATTAATAAAATTTGAAGTTTTTCATTTTTCTCTTTTATAAACAGTGTAACAATCGACGTATTTTTGAGTATACGCCTTTACATCATTGTTTGATCCAATACTCAAGGTAAAGTTTAAGAATCGTGATCACTGTGTCAAAGGATATATATATTTAAAACCTTGATACAGATTGCTAAGTTGCTTTCTAAAAAGATTTTACCAATTTACCCTTTTACCACTAATGTTTGAGAGAGTGGTAAATGTAATCTAATGTAAAAAGACTTTTGTCAATTTTGAGCATTGTTTGTCCTATTTTTTTTGGGTAGTGCTTGGGATCAAACCCAGGGCCTCATGTGTGCTAGGCAAGCAGTCTACCCTCTCCTCTGTTTGTCTTTTTAAGTCTTAATTAACCAGATAGTTGAAAATAATATATTTTTTTGTTCATTCATTTCTTCTTTCATGTATTCATTCACTCATTTAAATATTCTGTATTAGTGCCCATTATATGCCAGATATATTCTAGGTACTTGGGATTTGTCACTGAACAAAATGGATAAGACCCCAACCCTTTTTTTACATTTTAAGTAGAGGAGACAGGCAATAAAATAATAAATGTTATATAGATGAAATACTAGAAGATAAGTACAATGAAAAAAATGCTGAGAATCATAAGAATTTAGCAAATCCTTGGGAGTAGGGTAAGATATAGAATATTTTTGAACATACATTTTGACATATTTTGACTTGTCAAATACAACTTCAGAAAAGTTGTGCTTTTACATCCCCTGTCCCCGGCAGTAGATGTGAGAATACCGATTTTTCCATCCTTTCGGTAATAATTAGTATTAGTTAATTTTTAATTTATCAATGTATCAGACAAAAAGATTTTTGTTTTTATGTATATTTTCTTAATTTTTTTTTCATCTGTGTATTAATGACTCCCATATGATTTTTGAAGCCTAGGTCACTCTTGAGTTTCAGACCCTGTTTAGCTCCCTATATCTCCTTCATTGTACCATTGGTCTTTCTGCATATTACTGTACTGTATCTCTGATTCTTTTCCTCTGAGGCCTATAGCATCCATTGAGTTGTCCCAGCTAGATTTTGACACTATCCTTCACTTTCTTCTTCCTTTCGCTATCTAGTTAATGATGAAGTCCTCTTTGTCTTACCATATAAGCCTCAGGTCAGGCTATTCCTTCTCACATATTCTGATGTTATTCTTTGTCTTACCATATAAGCCTCAGGTCAGGCTATTCCTTCTCACATATTCTGATGTTATTCTTATTTAGACTATCATTAAATTCTCATACCTGGGTTACTATAGCAGACCTTTTACTGATCATCTCTCCTCTCATTTTGCCTTCTTTTAAAACTGTTTTCCATCCTGATATATTGGCTTAGAGTTATCTTCTCAAAAAATATGTAGTTGTCCTTTGGTATCTTTGGGACCTTGGTTTCTGAGCCCCCTTTAGATACTTTAATTTGCCAGTGGTAAAGTCTACTGGGAAAAGGGGTGGTATTTGCAGAAAACCTAATGTTTGAGAGATTGGTAAATGCAATCAAATGTATCCTCCTATATGTGTTAAATTATTTCTAGATTACTTATAATTCCTAATGTATTTATAAATACTATGTAAATACTTATTATACTGTACTGTTTAGGGAATAATGACAAGAAAAAAGTATATACATGTTAAGTACAGGTGCAACTTTCCCCCTCATATTTTAGTATATGGAATCCATGGATACAGAGGGCCAACTGTCTGACTACTCCTTAAAGTATGTTAGTGCCTCATTGTTTTCAATGCATGTTCCAAACTTTTAAAATGGCTGACAAAATCCATCATAGCCTCTCACCATTTGTCTCTCCTTCCCTTTCTTCTCTCCAACTCTAGTCCTTTACTTCTATGTTGCTTCAATATGTGAGAAGAAACTTGCTGTGTGAAGTACATCCCTTACCACGAAGGCCCACAATCATTTTAGCTTCCTTTTTTTTTTTTCCACATCCTGTTTTTCTTTTTTGTAACCCATCCCTTCTGTCTCAGATGTGTTGAATTTCTGGTTTAGTAAAGCTTTTCCAGGAAAGCCTT